AAAATCGGTATTGCTTTATCCAAAATATTAAAACAACTTCCCATTAAACCTCCAACCACTTTGTACGCGTTTAAGATAAATAAAAAAAAAATAAAAAATCATTCTAATCTAACCAATTCCGTAATTTGCTATTTAATAGGGAATGTGCTTTAATTTTAAAAAACAAATTCAATCCTTAATTATGACTACCAACAAACCCAATCTACATCCTAACAAATTGATTCCTTTTTTTCCGTTCAGATAACCATACAAACACTATATAAAACTCTATACAGTGATAACAGAAATTCCAATGCTCTTCGATTGCCAGCTTCTCCATACACTACAAAACACAAACATTATTCTATGGAACCATTCTGGGGTACACTGGACGCCGTCAGCAGAACCAACAAACCATATTTGAGGTTGAGAATTGTCCATCTACTTGAAACTCATCATGGTGAAGAGGATCGAAATGCTTTTCATATCCTGTTTCATGACGAAGGGGTAATAATTTTTTTCTATTTTATCAATAACATAATTATTGTAATATATAATATCAAAATTCAAAAAATTTTCGAGATTTTATTAATTTTTTTTTTTTTATATAAAACATGTAGGGTTCATACATGAAAGGAATAATTCGTTCACCGCATATGAGTAGATTTCGAGTTCTACTTAAACAAGGCGAGGTATATGTTATTCGAAACTACGATGTTGAATATAATACTGGGAGGAATGATATTACAACAAAACCTTGGAAGCTTCGAATTCATGGAACTACGGACGTGATCAAATGCAAATTTAATTTTCCTCAATACTAGCTACGGAAAAATTATGGTCAAGGCTGTATTTCTTAGTTTTATTTCAACTATTTTTTTTTTTTAATTTATGATATGTTGAATATTGGCAACCCTTTTATTCCACTGTCATTGTTTACGCGTATTTGATATTTGTTAAAATTTATTGGTAATAAATTTCGTATTTCTTCATTTATTATTCGATTAAGTAATTACATGCGACTGTTTTAATCTGAATTTGGAAGATATAATTTGATATTTTTTTCACAACGTGAAATTGATTTTATTACAATTTAAAAATATTTAAAATAAATGTATTGAAATTTTATGTTTAACTTTCATTAAATATACTCACGATATTAAAATTAGCAATTTCATTTTTTCAAAGATATAATATGATATTTTTTAAACAATGTGAAATTGATATAATACAATAATTTAAATATATTTAAATTAAAGGCATTAAAATTGATATAATACAATAATTAAGGCATATTTGGTGTTATACTCCGAAACAAGAAAATTAAATATTTTTAGTTTTGTATCAGAAAATATAATCCGAATTTTTTAAAATCAAGAAATATAATCCGCATTTTTAAATGAGTTAAATATAATCGGATATTTTATAACAGATCTTTTTATGTCAAAAATTGTTAGGATATAATATGAAGGTTGTTGAAATCTCTTTGGTTGAAGAGAATCCATTACTAAATCAAATTCTTGAAAAATAAAACCTCTTTCCAGTTAAAAATTTAAATACGTGGTTCACGAAAAAAAACATTCCTATGATAAACATGTTCCCATATTCATCTAGACATCTACCTAATTAAAAATTTCGAAAATAATATTTTTTACAAATAGATTATAGTATATTATATTATGAAATCTAAATATTCCGTATAATATTATTAAAAAATAGTATACTTTTTCAGAAATTATTTTGTTTAGATACGTTTCATGAAAAAAAAACATTCCTATGATAAACATGTTCCCATATTCATCTAGACATCTATCTATTTAAAAATTTCGAAAATAATTTATTTTACAAATAAATTATAGTATATTATATTATTAAAACATTTGTTTCCTTTATACTTCTAATTCATGTATACTTCTTATTCGTATTATCAATATAAATTAAGGAACAAATCTGATTTTAGGCCAATCAATTATCACATACTTAGAAATTTTTTTTTCTCTACGTATTTAGTAAAACAAAAAAATACTGTTATGGAGCCATATGGCTTGATTACAAAGTTCAATATTAATATCAAAGCCTATCTTAAGCTCAGAGCTATACGTATTTTAAATAGATCTATCAATGCATCACACTCAACCGATTGCGAAATTCTTTTTCACGATAC